AGTTGAACCTCTAGATTGAATCTCTATTTTTTTTTTTTTTTTTTTCCCCACCCCACCCCCAGGCAAGTATTAATTGATGTTTGATTTTTCTCCTTACAGGTGTTGCTGCCATTATGACAATGGCAGCACATTCCAAAGTGCCGCAGCCACCAGCTATTCAATAACATCGGCAATTCCATCTTCATAGGTCGAGCAAGGACTTAATTCACCACAAATAAAACGTTTAAAACAATTTTTGGCATTATTTCATTATTTAACGCATGGAATAGTCATCTTAATTTCAATTGCTTTTTATTGCAACTCTCTTAGACTGTCTTTCAATTGTTGTAAGCTGCAGAGATCAGGAATAAAAAGACTGATTTGTCTGAAGCTTTTGTGGGAGGGGGTGGATACATTCACTTTTATTTTATTTTTTTAATACAGGGTAATCAAAATCTTTATTCTGTTTATTGAGTAAAAATAAGACAAATTTTTCAACATGGATTTTTATTAAATTTATGAGTATTGCTTTGTTCCACTATCTTCTAGCAACTTTATGATTTCAGCCTCTTGAGAATGCTTTATCATTCCTAAAGGGAAAAAAAATGGTGTTGATGCGTTTTACAGTTTTCTGACAAACTGAAACATTTTTATAAATTCCATAAAACTGGTAGAAATAGTCATGAGCGAATAAGTAAAAAGTTGTTGGCACTACTTAGACTGGTTAGCTCATAAAAAAAAAAAAAGTGGGGGAAATAATTTTTGTAGATTAACTATCTTTAGGCCTTCAAGCCACAACATTTGTAAGAATTGAAAAATAGAAGAATAATAAACATTTTTATTGTGCAAGCTTTCGTTCTTTAATTAAAAATGTATATATCCATTTTTTTTTTTTTTATTATTTTATTTAAAAAAAAAAAAAAAGTTTTGTATGTAGAACAGTTAAGTCCAGGTAACTCCAAAAAAATATCAAAGTTCAATTTTAAAAATTTTTTTTTTTTAGTCTTGACAAATCACCTTGGAAGGTCTAGTGAATGTTTTATGAGTGGACCAATGTAAAGTAGTGCTAAGTTTTTGTCCGGTGTTTGCTTGATGGAACGTCTTTGTTTTTTTTACTCTAATTCCAGACAATTGTCTTTATTTGGTTTTGTTTAAACCAATCATTTGTTTTTACCGAAAGAGCTTGTAATAAAAAAAATCTGATTCTGCTCTCACCGTTTATGAGAGGGTGCTGAAAAATTATCAGCTTGACCCAGTCCAAAATTTATTTTTGAGTCTCTCCTCGGTTTGGCTGAGAGCTGTCAGCACCACCCTACACAGCATTACCATCTTTGGATGAAAATTGGTCTTTTGTACAATTAATGGAGGTTACATTTTTCTCTTACATTCCACATAAAGTATTCATTTTTCATCACCCCCTGTCAAAATTTGTTTAAAAATCAGAATGTTTTGAGAAAGCCACATATCAATTTAAAAATATTCCAGCTGTAACAATAGAATTAAACATACAGATTGTATATCACCCCAGACCATGTAGAATAGACTTTGCACACAGTGTGATGGCCTCTTAGCTGCTGAGTGCAGATCCAAATGATGGCCCCGGCCGCAAGAGAGTTGCAAGCATGGGAAAAATATCATAACCGTATAACCATCCATACCCAGAGAGAATGACCATCTCCGAGACGTTACACATGAGGATGTAAGCTCCACATTTCAAATGGCAAAACTGGGGCTACTCACATACTGGCTGACAGTAATTAACAAAGTACTGGAATAAATACAATGTACTTCTTTCTTTCTTTCCAATACAAGGCCCAAGAGCCAGTCAATGTAGAGAGTTATCTTGAAATCACAGTAGAACTTCTTGAGTAATAAATATGCCAGACCCTGAGACAAGCTCACTTGTTTAGGCAGAATAAAGGACCCATTAAGTGGTGATGAGCAGGATAAAGTGACATCCCTTACTCCCACTGACATTTGAGAAATCCAATCTCCTGTTATTAATCGTTGTAGTGATGCAGTTACAAATGTAATCTTTTTGAAGGAAGTGAAAATTAATTTCTAATACTATTTTAAAGATAAAAACTTAAAATTGGGTTTTGCCCAATAAGTAAAATTTGAATTTTGATGATTGTCAAATGAGCTGTAAGTATTTAGCAATTTTATTCAGCTCTGAAACTAAATGAACTTTGAGAAGTATGAAATAGAAGGGAGGTCTTGAATAACTGGGTAGGTTGAGGGGGGGGAATTTAAGTACACTATTTACATTATTCGGACTATTGTCCTCATCTTTGTCGCCATGTTTATCACAAAGTTTTGGCTGTTGTACGCTCTGGCCTTCTTCAGGTGGTTGGAATGTTAAACTGAACCCTTTATTTCGCTCACTGGGGTAGACTGCTCTAGTTGCACATGCCATGTCTAATGGATTTCAGTTATCTCCTGTTAATTCCCCTCTGATAAATATGGCGACAAAGATGAGGACAATAGTCAGAATAATGTAAATAATGTACATAATACCGCATCTCAGAAATATAGACAGATACTGAAAGGCCGAAACATAAATATAGCAACAAGTATGAGGACAATAGTCAGAATAATGTAAATAGTGTACATAATACCTCATCTCAGAAATATAGACAGATACCAAAATTTAAGTAGCCAGGTGCATCTAGCTATTCTAGTCACTAAAGTAGTTTCTCTTCACTCCCTTTAGTTAATGTAAGTCAGCAATTGACTATGGTAACTGCTGTTGAAAATTTTGGTCAGTTCAATATATGTAAAAAATATGATGGACTATGATAAAGTCAGTTCAATATAATTAGTTTGTTGCACAGTGCTCTTCATCTTCAGGGGGTAAGAAAGTTGGATAAACATGCCCACAATAAAACGGAGTTTCAAAAGGACAGTTTTTCCCCACACACCACTATTATTTTAACTACCTTCACTTTTAAAAGGCCATTAACTTGGTCTCTAAACAAACCTCCAACAACCATGAAAGAGAAAAATTAAAAAAACAAAAGTACAGTTAAATATATATGGTTTCAGAAGTGAAAGGCAGAAATATAAAACACGAGCAGCATGGCCCGGCGTTGTTCGTGCTTGATTCAAAAATCGTACGACTCATACAGCAATCGCTATCACTTGACTTAAAATATTTTTGCCCTTCCTTGCCTTTAAAGGAGTGCCCTTTGCTGTGCTGATGCTGCTACATGCCTTACTTCTTGCCTATCTCATACTGCAATTTTTTTCTAAGCTCTATACTAAACATTAAATCTGTTACAAAAAAAGAACTAAACAAAATCAACACAAAACGATCAGCTTTAAAAAAGGACTCAGAATTGGAAAAACCAAATGAAAAAAGAATGTTAACAAATACTTTTTTCACACCCAACCCAGTTCTGCAGAATCAGAATCAACGTTGAGTTTAAGTGTTTAATGAGCCAATTGGAGTAAAGTGCCATGCAGATTTAAATTTTTCCCACTTGTGATTTAATGCAGCTATCGATTTTTTTTGCATGCTAGCATGCTACTTAACATTCGTGTCAGTCAGCTGTTGGCTCTCACGCTGGCCAATAGAATCTTCCTGCCTATTCGTGGCAGCCGGCTACTGGCTCTCACTCTGGCCAGTACAAAATGGCAGTAAACTACATGAAAATTGCCGTAGAAGCATGAAAAAATTGATTATTTCCACTATCGATGGGAGTTGGGAAATGCAAAGTTGGTCCTGGCTTTCCGCTAACTTGGAGCATGTGCATGTAAATTTTGGTGCAAATCCATCGAAAATTGTGGCCGTGCATTCATTACACACACACACACACACACACACATCCTGCCTTTTATAGATAGAGATTTGAATGGAAGCTTCTCTCTATTTACATTATTTGGACTATTGTCCTCATCTTTGTCACCATGTTTATTATAACGCTTTGGCTGAATAATGTAAATAGTGTACATAATACCTCATCTCAGAAATATAGACAGATACGGAAGCTTATTCTGTAATATGCTTTGACCATTTTAATCATGAAATAATAATGCAAAATCAAATTTGAGCACACTAGAAAACAATTCACTGTTAATAACTCAATCTCGAATTGCCCCCTTATTCTGTTGGTATACTAAGTCAAAGGGTGCACATCCTACGCATGCCCCACCAAAATATTACTGCACCCCATGTTGGGAATTATTGGTTTAGGTTTTATTCCAATTCTAATCATCACTTTTGAAAAAAAAAACATTTCAGAAGAGTGAAGGTAATTAAAAAAGAGGTGTCATGATAAAAAAAAAAAAAAAAATCATCTTTTTGACATTCTGTTTTCTTGTTCATAATTCAAATCCTCAGACTATAGAGAGAGGGGGAGGGAGAGCAGCAGGACACAAATAAAGTTTTATCCCTATTGTGGCAAGATTGTCATTGATAGATTTTCATAATCACAGTCACATAGTCCTCATATATACTTAAATCATGTGACTAGATAATGTCTTCTTTTCAGTACTTACTACCATAACCTGGAATCAAGCCATGTTAGTGAATATATTATAAGATCAAACATATCTCTTTCATATATATATATGTGTGTATGCGTATTTAGGTGACACATTCTCTTTTAGGCATGTCTGATTGAATAAATTGCAGATTATGTCTGCTAATTTTTAACAAAATCTATTCATACTCACGTATAACCTTCCGTGTATTGATGTTAAAGGATAAGAGAAATGTGCTATAGCTGTTTAAATTTCTTTTATTTTCATATTCCCAAGTACTTTCGATCTTCTACCAAGATCATCTTCAGGGGTACAAGTAGTACAAAACTATATACTGTTCATTAGTATAAGGATTTATACACTGGGAATTATTGGTTTAGGTTTTATTCCAATTCAAATCATCACTTTTGAAAACAAAAACATTTCAGAAGAGTGAAGGTAATTTAAAAAGAGGTGTCATGAGAAAAAAAAACAAAACATCTTTTTGACATTCTGTTTTCTTGTTCATACTTCAAATCCTCAGACTATCGAGAGAGAGAGAGGGGGGGGAGAGCAGAAGAACCCAAATAAACGTTATGGTCATATGCCATTAAAGCATGAAAAAACTGTTCCTTTACAGGCATTTCAGAACATTACTGCAGTATTCATAGTTGATTCTGTTCAGTGCCGGCTTTAATTTTTTTATATATATTGCTTCTAG